GTATATATACTGTATATGCAGTATATATATACATATATATACACACACACAGTAAATATGAGCAGACATTAAGATTTTTTTTTCTTCTGATGCCTTTCATTTTATTTGATTTGCATTGTTTTGTTGTATATAATGTGTTTTTTAATGAAATGAATAAACAACATGAGATAATGTATATCTCAAGAAATTCAGCTTATAAAAAGGACTCCTTTAGTTTGAAAGTTTACCAGCAATAATGCTGTAACTGGATGTAACACTTTACCATCTCTTCTAAAATTTATAATGCGAAAGCATTTTTTTCTGTCGATGTAACTCGAAACGCAGAGCTTCAATGTGTCTCAGCTGAAACTTTAACTCYTGATGAAGTTTCCCTTCCAGCTGAGGTCTCAGAACATTCGGTGTGTGATCCTCTTTGACTCTGTACCCCCCCCCCCTCCACACACACACACACACAACTCAGAAGACTCATTCCTGGATTCTCTTCTCAACAGGTCCATATTGGTGTAGGTTACCATGGAAACCAAGACGGTGATGCTACGAGAGCAGGAGCAGCAGTCATCCCAGATGTCTCACGGCATGCAGCTGTCTTCAGAGATGAAGAAGAGAACGTTCACTTCCAGGTGCAGATTTCATGATAAGCCTTGTTTGTTTAACTGATGCATCTGGTCAGATAAAGGATTTTTACATAGCAAAGCCGACACAGACGTATAGCAAAGACCTAGCATCCCCAGCTGTCAATCACAGTGAAGTTTTAGAGTAAAAYTGTCGTGTTGACAAATTACAGAGTCGGTCGAAACTTGAGACCCTGTCACACTAGGACAACTTCAAGTTATAAACATTTCAAAGACGACATTGAAGATAGAATTTTAAAAATCAACTGGAAGCCTCTTTTAGGCACGTACATACTGTCATCCTAACAAGTTGATCAAATACAWAAGTTTTATTGGCAATTCAGGCATAAAACATTTTATAAGTGAGCATAAATAGTCTAAATGTTAGTGTGACACAGCTTTAAAAGTATTATGTGCATCTCATGCACTAAATGTGTCGTAAATGACTCTCAGTTATTCAGTTAAAATTGATTTCAGTCCCCATAAGAGTGCCTCAAWAATGTGTCTTGAATTGGATTGATTAAAAAAGTTACAGGCTTGATMCCAACTAATAAAGAGCATAACTTAAATAACTTTTAGCAACCATTTTAACATGAAGTCAATGAGCTCAAGTGCTTAAAATGTTAAAATCGTATCACCTAAAAATTACAACTGATAATCAGGTATTTAAAACAGCAGCTATTGGCTGAAAGTAGGACACACAATGTTTTGTCATTACGATTTTTTTAGATTGTCAGTATTGGTCTGATGAGAAAAAACTGGGTTAATATTAACGTCCCATTTCCCACCTTTTATATTTGTGTGGATGGGAAATGGTTGGTCGAGTGGTAACTGTTTGATCATGAATGTGAAAGTGATGATGC